CGCCATAGCCCAGTCACCATAGCTGGTGGGCTGGACTACAGTGAGGCGCAGGAGTGACACCCAGTGGCATCGACCACATGACTGTTTTTCAACAGTCTGCGGGTGTACCAACTGAGCTAGGCCCAGTGGTATCGGTCCCACTTGCCTGTTCACACTCAAAACTCTCACAGCAAATTGTGGCGGGCGGATGGTGCACCCACAAGTGCTGGTCCGACCACTCAGGCTTTTTCCACCTCGTGGGCTAGTAAGCCCCCACCGCTTGCATGCACGTTGAATCCCTCGGACCGTGCTTCAAGACGGGCAGGATAGAGGAATGTCATCAGCATCCCGAACACTCAGGAACCCGAACGGGCCCTCGCCAAAGAGGCACGTGCTCAAGGTCATCGACTGCCGTGACAGCCACTCGTGGGGGGGGGTTCCCACGCTGGTCACAGCAACCCATGCTGGCAGGCACCCCACGTCCAACAAGGAGGTCGACAACACAGTTGCCGTCCACCGCTTCCCAGTTCTATCCTGTTACAAACTCACATCCGTAATTTCTTCAGTCCATGGACGTACTCGCTGGGATAAGCCCGTAGTTTTCATCATCGGTCCTTACGCCAGCATTGCGCCGGGTCAAAAGATGGGACCTTAAAAATAAGGGAAAATAGCAAGAAAAAAAAAGAAAAGAAACCGATAAAAATAGTGGAACTGAAGACGACGGGGACTCGCCGAAGCCCTCTTGGTCTCGCCAGTCGGACGCATCTCCGGGCCCGTCCGGCAAAACCAAGGGGGAATAGTCCCACAAGACCCTCGTCCCCTCAATCACTACTTGCTGGCCTCAAACTCCAAACCCGTCGCCTGTGTGTCTATTCAACGTGCAACGGAAAAGTTTCAACGCCGTTGTACCCGTTGAATAGCCCCCGGGGCCCCGTTGAATAGTACAATGGGCCCTCCCCGTTGAATACTGTTGAACGGGGCGCATTGGGCCTTGGACACGTCGCTGGATGCGCGTGGATCAAAAAAAAAATTGCCAACCCGTTGAATCCCGATATATCCCGTTGAATCCGTGAATCCCCGTTGAATTCGCGTTGGATCCCATTGAACAAAAAAAAATGGGCGTCATGGTTGGTTTTTTATTTTTCCTTATTTTTTTTAATGGATGAAAAAAAAAAGGGCATGTGGTGTTTGAAAAACCCTACGCGCCCATATTTGTTGTTCTAATTTTAACTTTTTTTCTTTTAATAGAAAGCTAAAAAAAAAAAAAAGAGAACATTCT